TTGAAATCTAAACCTGCTTTCGATTGACGTGTTCATCTCCGAAGAGTTTGATTTTGTTTGTAAATAATTTTGTTCCATTTCCTTCTCAAACAAGAAAAAATACCTACGCATTTTACTGTAAGAAGTTTGTAGTTTTTTCTTTCGCCTTCATTCTTAAGCAATTATGGCGGCATGTTTGTAGTCTAACAGGTCTTAACTGAATCACTAAAGCTTGGGAGCAAAGCTGAATGGATTGCTGTTAATTAATGGTTTTTATAGTTTTCATATGGTAAAAGACAAATGCTTAAGCTACGACTGAGTTCACACACAAGCTTCAGCTCCGCCATAGATGACAGCCACAGGACAACGAAACCAGGTGGCAAATATTCCTCCGGTTCGCAGATGTCAGTTAGTGCATAAAACTACTTAAGAACACAGAATACTAGAGGTTTCCTACACCACAAAAAATCCCTTGCCTAATTAACAAAATACCAATTAAAGGAGTATTGTGTTGGGATTGGCATAGTACTTTGTAGCGACTGGCCATTCGAAAATCGAAGAGGGTAGTGTTCAGGTCTTGAGCGTTCAGTTTACTCCTCAGAAAATCTCCATTGGTGCTTTGGCTTTACTGATTCTTGAATGGCAGTGTTGAAATGATTTTTATCGAGGACAAATCCAAAGAATGCTTTCTATTTCCATGTTCGAAAACTGTCGTAAGATTGCAGAAAGTGAAGAAGTTCTGGCTTCTTTGCTGCTATATAACCGAAAAGCAATGGGAATACTTCGTTTGGAGCTAAACTCATCGTAAATCAGGAGTACCAGGAAGAAAATGGCCACCGTGTTCGACGTTTGAAAAGTTATCGATGCTGATCGTTCTCATTGACATTACGCTATCATTATATCCATGTTTCGATTTCAAATTAACTTTGTGGTTGTGTGAATGCGAACTCGATCTTTACAATCACTTTTGATGATCGGGCGTGACGATCGACCGAGCAATTGCTTTATCCACCGTTGCACATGGGTCTGCTGCTATCAATTACTAACCTCTTCAGCGTCTCGTCAATTATTCAAAGTGTACGATTTCTTAAAATCGAACATATTTGATGATTTGAGAGCACTTCTCACGTGGTTTTTGTGTGCTGGATGGTAACAAGAAGCCGTTGTCGGACATGGATTCGGTTGGTTTCTAGAGGTGAATGTAAGATGAAAAGGATAAAGGATGAATATGTATAAGGATATCACTTTAGAATGATCATCCGGATTGTCAGACATGGATGAGGAAGGATGCAAGTGGTGGTGGAATGTGTTGTGTCCTCCTTCCTGTCTCCCTCAAAGCCGGCAATTGCCGATTGTTATATTGATCATAATGGCAGGAGGCGTGACGATCTGCTGAGAGAGGCAAATCGGACAACGGACCGATTAGAACAGTAGTAGTTGTTGCTGTCGTCATCATTTTGCAGCTTGCTGTACTAGACCCTATGTCCTCTATGAATTGTTAGCAGCAGGCAGTACACCGACGTTTCGTTGTAGGACATCTTTGTGCTGTTACCACAGCACACATTCTTAATGTTGTTGACTTTACCTGCTTGTAAGACCGAACACAATAGGAAGCGGATCTAAGCCGACAGGTCATCAAACCCATCAAACAACACCCATCGTCGTATAACGCATCGTTTATGACATGTCAGGAAAGTGGTGACCGCTTGCCGTCTGTCTTCAGTGTGCGGGACCACAGTAACCGGCTGGTTGGCGTAACTAATTGTACCACAACAGCGACCACGATCACTGATGGCGGTGATGGTGAAGGTGTTAGTGGTGGTAGTGGGTGCAGCAGTAGTTGGGGATTGTTGTCGGCTGCGTAACCTTATCGGCCGATCGTGTCTCATCCACCCACCTCGTCTCTGTTTTTCGCCCGCTTCCTCACACACACACACTCCATCCCCGGCTGCCTCGCCGACTGCCCCATACCCGCAACCCATCGCCCGTAGCACTTGACCATGTCATGTCCATTTTGTCGCCCACGTATCCGAAATCGGATACATTTATAGAATCTGGTTCCGATTGAAACAGGGAGGTTTCAAGGCACTGGTTGGAATTATTAGGGATAGTCGTTGAGCTTACTCATGCTGATCCAGCGACCGACCGTTGTTTACCGGTGTTATGGTGGACTGTAGATTATATGAAAAGTCTGCCTGTAAGATGAAAGTCGTTCGATAACCGAAGAAATTGAACAATGTCTATTTCATATATCTACATTCCAACAGATTGTGTGGTACCTGTGTTTAATACGCTATTTATTCGAAGGAAAGACCGAAGTAGTATATTTTGCTGGTGTTCCTTTCGATGTGATAACGGTCCGCAAATGTTCTCTAACTACATTTTTCCTTCTCGGTCTACGAACTGTCGTCATTCTGAACTTCTACATCTAGCGATCTTTTTCGCGCATGCTTAAGCGTCGTCGTCGTTGTCGCCTTCGTCATTCGCAGCAAGCCATCTGTTCCGCATTGGCGCGCGTTATGCGCGGGTACACGAGCACCTATGAGTGAGTGACGCAGAGGACAGTGCCAGAGTGCAGAGAGCGGGAGTGGTCAAGAATGAACTGTTAGGTGATGTAATTGGCCGACAATCCAATTTCGAGTAATGATTGTGCTGTCGAAGATATTTCAATCTGAGGACGATTGGGGGATTTCCATCGACAGTGGGAGGGTGTGTCGACGTTGTGAGACGTCTTATCCATCGTTGTTACTTCTAACGGTGTTGTAGTAACTAGTTATGTCCATGTTCTTCTCACTCGTGAAGTAATCCTTATGTCAAATCAGTCAAATCCATCTTCTTTTCTCAGGTGTTCAAACTACTTCAAACTGTTTATTTTCTTGATGAAGTTTGCGTTGGTAAAGTGGCTTTCGTTTCAGTTTTCGGAACAAAGTGTATGTGGTTTTGGAAAAAGGTGTGTTCGTGTTCCCTTCCGTGTATGTTCCGGAGACGGTAAATGCCATTATGAGATCTCATTAACGAGAGGATGTAGATGTTTTTAATGTGGTAGCCATGCTCGAAGTTATACATACAAACCTTCACACGTACTCACTTCTGCTGTCCGTCCGTCGGTCCCAAGCCTGTTAAATGTCTCATGCATTACGACGGTAATCAATAATAGGAGGTTGTTTTTGAGAAAGGCGCCCATTAACTCTATGAGTTATGAATGAGATGAGCGGAGATGAGATGAGATGATTTCATCGTATTCATTCACCGAAAAAGTTGTTGCTTCTGATTGTCGTCGTCGTCAGCTATGTAGTTGTCATAGTTGAAGGATTTATTGACCGTGGTGGTGTTGTTTGATCAGGCGTGTCGTCGTCGTCGGAGGCTCTCAATGGCTCCCTTTACTGTTACTCTATTCTTTTCCTGTCGTTTTTTTCGGCCGTGGATTCTCGGTTTTTTTCTTCTCGTTTTCTGATTCTCCTTCCTTTTGTTTTTTTTTCTTCCTGTACGCTTAATCGTATCGAAATCGATTTTTGTTTTGTTGTCTGGGCACTATCGTCATGGTTTTTGGTATTATCTGAAAGTTGTTAAGGTACTATTATTGATTAGTTGTGTTCAGTGTATGATGTACCGATACTCGACCACACTCAGCTAAAGCTCTCTCCTACTCTATCGATTCATGATTTTATTGCCCTTTGAGGTGAGAAGGGTGAGGGTCTGTGAGTGAGTGACTCGTCGTCAGCAGCAGGAGGCTCTCGTCAGATTCGCCACTTGATTACCTACCTATTCGTTGAAGAGGTTGTAATATCGATTTTCTCTCATACGTTGCTAATTCATTCGATGAGAGACAATTCTGTTGACATACTCCGATCGATAAGTAAGGTTTTGAGGTGAATCCCTATTTTCGAATACAATTTAGTCAATACAATACAGTCGAGTACATTCGAGTACAGCAGCCATATTTGTCTTTTAGAATGCTGTGATTGGTAAGGTCTGTTGCGTTTTTTTTTAGTTATTGTTATTTATTCCTCAGTTTACATCTTTTTAAACTATAGTTTTCCATGATTCGGTACTCATTCAATGCCTGTATGCCATTTATGGTTATTGATTTTTTCCTTACTGTTTGATTGTCGTCGTGAAACTGTGCTCTTCTTCAGAACAGAAAGTTGTAAGGACTACTAGTGATTTCCTAAAGACGGAACTGGTATGTTTCAAAAGAACTTTTTCTACATGCAAAAGTAAATTTTGTTTTCGTTGTTGTTTCCGTAACGTCCTACTTGTGTTTCACTTTTAAAGTTAAGATTCTCTTGATCGTTGGACTATTTTAAACCGCTTTCCCAACTTGTTTCCCACAATTTCTTGTAATTTTCAGTTTGTTTTCTATTTATTCTAAGCGCTATCTTCCGGAAGGGGTAATAGCGCGTTCGTTCCCCACCGCAGGCACCTGCGGTCCGGGGTTTTGCAAATATGTCAGCATCATAGAAGTTATATTTGCTAAGCGTTTTTGCGTTTATACTTATATACAAGGGATCGTTATTTGGCGTTGTCATGGTCGTTTTTCGTCTAAGCATCGCTTTCTACGAACCGTACAAGTTCTTTCTTTCGTGAATGTTTTCTTCTCACTCCTTTCATGGTCACCTACTGATTTTTTCTTTCGCGTTCGTCTTTTTTTCGCCTTCGGGTTTCATAGAATGCTTTAACTGATCGTGGATGATGTGAGTTGTGGATTCTTGATTTCAGTTAGTCTATTCCTGACTACAATTACTGGCGACGTTCTGTGTCGGTGAAGATACTACTCTAGATCATTATTGACGTCGTCTCCGTAAGGAACATATTCGTGTGGCTGATGTGTGTGTGATAACGTTGCTGTTCGCCTGATCCCGGTACTGATCCGCAAGCAATCACGTCCACCACCACTTATTCTCCTCTACTATCGACATATTTGCGATACCAGCAGCACCTTCATCTTTCGTCTTATCATCGATTATCAATCGATCTGATCGAAATTTGCTGAGAAGCTAGCTGCGCTCTGATTTCGCTCGATGACCATGGCACATGTGGACAGTGAACAACATCCGATGTCGAACGGTTGCGAGAACAATGCCGAAACGATCGTCGAGCCAATGGATCTGAGCACATCGGTACGTGTAGTATTCATACCAATTTTTAACTGTTTTTCAATGAAATCATTGACCTAAGATGAGGTTAGTGTAGAAATTTTATTCATTAAAAGTTTTACTTGAACTGTTTCATTGTCTGTGCAGAGGTTAGATGGTGATCAAGTTTGAAAGTATCTAACAACTTTTGTTAAGTGTTAATACAAAACTTGACCATTTTGAAATGTTACTCTAAGGTGCGCTAAGAGAATAAACGCTGGGCGCTTGCTCGTGTATACCTTGTTTTCCACTTTTACCACCGGATTCCACTGGTTTCGAAATCTCAGATTTTGCGTCATATAATGACGATACACTTTTGATAAAAACAGATATCCTGTATTTGTCGTGTTGACGAGGAATTCCTGAGAGAAATCTTGTGTTGCTATTAGTGTTAAGGAAATTGAGCGGATTTATCACTTTTTGTTAATGTACAATACACCGACTTAGTGCTTTTGGACTTTGGCAGTGTTATATTTCAAAACCAGCTTTCCTTTAACTTCGCTATGACTAGTCAATATGTATTCTTTCTTTGATAAGCTTATACGAGGTTGATATATAATTCTATTCGGTTAACGTTCCGACGGTTTCATCTTCATCATCTTCAGCCGATCTTTGGGAGTTGTTTTTATTATCAACCTCATGTGAGCTCAGCAGCTTAGACACATATTGATTATTTGGCGGTTATAATTGTAACTAAGGAGGAAGTAAACTATGAAGAGTTCTAAATGTAGTTCGGTACTTGTTTGTCAATTGTAAATTATGAATAAATGGTACGTTGCCTGTATTAAAGACGTGAATTCCACAAAGACTTCAAATTCCACAGTTTTTTCCAATTCCACAGGTTGTGCAGAGCTTGATCACTTGATTTCATAACCGATCTTTCTTTCTCATGCTCTCATGTTTGCATGGAAGGCTACCAATTTTGCTTAGGTCATGTTTTGAAAATGCCTTTCGGCTTTATTTCATCCTTTTGTTAGAAACGTGCAATTCGGTAATGCCTTTTTTGTCAAGGACTTATCATCTTTTTGTCTCTCTTCAGTGATTATTTGATCAGACTTGTTATGATGACATGTTTGACTTGCTGTCTTAGATGCCAAACGGCACATTGTCGAAGTCACCACTTGAGTTTACCGATGGGCAGTTATCACCGGCTTCTCTACGACGTCGCAGCACCCGAGCAAGTGCGTTGAAAGCTCAGGAGAAAATTAAACTTAAAGATGACATCGTTGTGACGGCAAACCTGGAGAGGGTGCGTTGTCTTTGGTCCGTTTTTTCTAAATATTCCAGACTACGTTATGTTGAAGATGTAGCAGTTTGTTGCATATTTAAACGGGTCATTTTCGTTAATCACTCAGGCCCGAACACAGTCTTTGTTTGAATGATATTTTGCTAGGCTGACGTGTTTTTTTCGTTCTTCGTAAAGTTGTACCTTCTTAACAACTATTGGTCTGCCCTTTTAGATTAGAGTTGGGTTTAAGCACTGAAACTAAATTTCATGAGAACGGTAGGGACTCCCGAATAGTTTTATTCATATCTGGTTTTGACTATGCTTTGGGGTGAATGAAAACCTTTCTGTGAAAGCTAGCTATGGACCTAGCCCGTTTGCTACTTGTAAACGGTAAGCTACTGTTATGGATTGAAAACATGCAACAACTGGCTTATGAATGATATTGTTTGTTTTCATACAGTTTTCAGTAACTTCTGTTTTCTTAAATGTTTCAAGTAACATCTAAAGCTACGAAAAATTCAGGGTGATATCGAAGAGGACGGTGAATCGGCCCCGAAGAAACGAAGGCTACATGATGGATCCGTTTTCGATCAGTTCAGTCACAAGTTTGGATTACGAGTGAGTGAAAGTTTCCATAGGATACATATCTATGGATCGAGATCAAGTTCTTTTTGAACACAGTGGCAAACTCATGTGACTCATAGAAAATTATACTGAGTATTTAAAAAATTGTTTTCCTTTCGTTGTTTAGCATCACTCGCTACTAATATTTAATGTGTTATCCTTCTTGAAGTAAAATCTGCTCCAGGAACAGTAGAAAATTGTGCCAAAGAATACCTAAATAAGTTATTTTCTTCGACTCATTGCCGCTTCTTGCTCATCTTAGACATTGGTTGAAACTTATTTCTGAACTAGGCGAAATCACAATATTTACCTTTTATTTACTGCTTATTACTTTGCGAATATCTCGGCATCGTTGTGGTTCTATTTCACATCATACCGCGTCGTGAAGAAATAATAATAGGCAGTAAATAAAAAGTGAACATTGTTATTTCGGCTGCAGCTTCAGTTTAACTTGGTTTAATGCCGATTTTTACTTCATAGATCATCCCTGTTGACGGGTGGTTGCTGATGTTATAGTAAAAAAACTGCCTGGGAGAAAGCAAAGCCAAGGCCCTCAGTGGTACAGTGTTGTCCTTGGAAAAGGTAATCGCGGGTTCTAATCTGGCCTACGGTCCAAGTTTTACGAATATCTCAGCATCATAGTGGTTGTATTTCCTGGTTACTTCTGGAGGCTTCCCGTCAGTCTAGGCGTAGTAGTCAGTTTACTAGCCGGCGTAGTTTGAGATGTCTCATTTCCAGGAACAAGATGGGAACGTATACCCATTAACAGACGAGAGTGAGGTGTCGTCATTACATGATAGCGAGATCATCACGCTTAAAGCCAGCTATGATAAGGTAATTTTCCTTTTCTCATTCTTCTGTGTGTAAACCGTTTCTTTTCACTGATTAGCTTCAAAGATGTTATTATTTCTTTCTAGAACCACTGGAATTCTTTCATTTGTGCCATATGGCCCTCACTTTTTATTGTTGCTAAAATGTAGTGTTGTCTTTAAAGTTTTAATTTTCTCCTAACTTATATTTGTTTGCGATTAAGTGCAGTAGTGGATGCAGTGTTACTCTGGAACTTACTTGGACTCCCTTCACTTTGCCACTTACTAACTTCTAAAAAACCTCTAGCAGAAGCCTGCAGTAAAATTTGTTATTATCTAATACCGCGCTTTAAATAACAAATGGTCTTTTAGTTAATGAGTAAGGAACTTACACTCGAGCAGCGGAATGAAAGGACACGTATGATCAAACAGTGTGAGGCAGAATTACGATTAGAGGAGGCAAAGTTGACGATGTTAAAGAAAGTAAAAGCGAGCCAAATGCTTGCTAATCAGAAGGTTAGTAGTACTGTTTTTTAATGACTTTCTGTAAATGATCGACTAGGTTTTTTTCTTCAGCTTCATGAATCTAAGAAGTCAGCTCCTCACGTACCGTTGAACAATACCAGCGGCGCATACAAGCCTCTTGTAGCACCACCGCTCAATAAAAGTGCTTCAACTCCTGCCAATGGGAGAAGTGAGTTGTTTCTCAATCTCTTAACCTTCCTTGTATTTTTGGGTCGCTTTTTTTCCTTTTTTTTGCTTAGTCTCCTAAGTCATAGTGGGGAAAAGCCTTAGTTTTTACAATGTATCCAATATAATAATGGCACAGTTTGATGACACTGACGACATAAATACCATTCAGAAGCCTTAGCTCAAACATTGGCATAATTAAAGCCAAAGTCGCTTAAACAGAAAGCTCGTAGTTTTTTCTTTGTTTTCTTTCTTTGAATGCACCTGTTATTACCTTCATAACAGTTTTTAAAGAGATTAGATGAGGTAATTTCGCACTGCGGAATTTCCTGACAAAAATGCTTTGCAAACATATGGGCTACGTAGTGTGTATCTTTTTAATATAACTTGGAAGATAGTTGAAATTGTTGAAGTTGAAGAAGAAGCAGCACACGAAAAAGTAGTGTTTCGCATTAAAAATTGACAACAATAACTTGATTGTAGTTTTGTAAGTCGTTTCTCGTCTTTCAGGCTCATCGTCACGTGCAAATCCTGTTCTAGGCTTAGCTGGTTTAACCACTCAACAACAACAAGAGGTCGCTGCTCATTATTTTTGATTGGTTTTGTACGGGAAGCTTTGAGCGAGCTAGTTAATGAAAATTGCTCTGAAATACATGAGTAGTGTTCATTTCAGCTGCTTCGTAGTGCACAGGCGAATCCTGCAGCTCTACAAGCTCTGCTTATGCAGGCAGCCAAAAACGGACAGTCTCCAGCGCAAGCACTGGCGGCACTATTTGCTAATCACGCATCAACATCAGCTCAAGCTACTTCTGCAACTCAGCAACTTAAGGAACAACGTGTAAAGGAAGAGCAAATGCTTAAAGAACAAGCTGTAGTTAATCAAGCAAATACTGCTGCTCAACAGGTATTAGTACGGTACCTCAGGGTTTATTACTATACCGTCGCTTCAATTAGAATGCCTGCACTTGTAGGCAAAGTTGCTGGCAGCCCAGACACCGCAGCAGCGTGCTGCTACAGCAAGGCAAGCGTTTCGTATGCAAGCAGATAAGCAACTCATGCAGGTTTGTTCTTTTTTTAATTTTACCACTTATACACTTAAAAGTGATATTATCGGTCACAGTAGAGTAACAACGAATGGAGCGTTTTGTTTTCCTGAAGACATCCCTCATCGCTATTTGTTTTCAGCAAATTTCTGCTCCTAAAGCACCGCCAATAGATTTGTTCTTCATTCCAAATGGCTCACAACCAGATTTTTGTTACCTCGTAGGCCTGGATCTCGTCGTTCAACGGGTACTTAAAGACAAGAACGCGTACAGGTAAGGTTTCAATCGTATTTTTGGAGCAAGGGAATCTTGGCCTTCACTTTTTAAGTTAATTCATCTGTTGTTAAATGTCGGATTTTGAAGTGAAATGTAAAGTGTTGTAAAATTTTATATATCGGCGATACAGATGTAAGTGTTATCCGTTATCTGCACTCGTCAATAACAGTGTGTTTAAGGCCTAGGTATCCCATCCGTATGAATATTTCGATCTTTGGATCCGATAAGCACCGATGGCCTTTTCGAATTTTTAGTTATTAATGAATATTTTTATATGAAGGAAGTTGTGTAAGTATGTGAAGAAGTCCTGAATCATTTGTAATAGGTTTGGTGAGTAAGACGAGTGAGGTACAGTGTTTTTTCGCTCCAACTCGTATAGCTCCAATTTTACAATCATTTGCTTATAATGGAAGTGTGCATTCTTTTACAACATGGTCGGCTCCTTTTGAAGGGTGGATGCTTTTCGATTGCATTGCAGTTCTGCGTTATTTCTGTCCGTTACTGGCCAGCTTCAGCGGTTTTGCCTGATATGGGAAGTTACATTGGATGATTCTAAATTGCTAAATCTTCTAAGCGCCCTTATTTTGATGCACCTTTGACTTTTGGAGTTATCAGTTTTTTCTGCAGAATTTGTTTCAGTCATATGTCAATAAGTTGATAAGAAAATCAATTTTTACGTCGTAAAAGCAGTGCTTTTCGTTCAGTTCGCTTATTCATTTAGCACCCATTTTCCGAATTTTTTTAAAATCCACCTCTGATGAGGTACTCCGTCCGAGACCGTTGTTTTGCTAGCGCTATATTTTTTAAATGCCAGTTTAAACTTTCGAACCGTCTTCGGTCGTAACATCTGTTTAGTTTCATGCTAATGAATACTCAAACTCCCTCTTATTATTCATCCCAATACTTAATTGGATGCTTGGAGTCATCCCAATAGTCTACATTATACGCGATCTATAGTAAGAACAAATGCGTTTAAATAAGAACATAGTGGGAAATCTGTGGTTCAAAAAGCAGCGTGTAATACTCGTATAAAAATTTATGTTGATCGGAAAGTTACCTTGATGTTCCACATTACAACATAAGTCAGTTCGTCCTTAACGACAACTTTTTTTTCAATCTCCTTTTTCATACGGCCGACTTTTTCGTTACTTAGTCAATTAACTTATTACACTTAAGTTTTCTTAGAAAATATCTTTATGGAAAAAATTCTGGCTCTACTGTTGTTCTGTGTTATTCAACTTTCCGTGATATTTTTAGTCGCTGATTCTTGTTAAGGACTGTTTCCGAGGTGCCTTATGAATGCGAGGAATGTGGTACGGATTTCACACCATCATGGAAGGCTATCGGAACCTCAAGCTCAGATATGCATCTCTATTGCGAACAATGTGTACGTACGGCACAGAAGCGTAAAATTCGAACAGATCATACTAATGTGCTTAAGAAAGCCTACAACAAAATTAATAGTCAAGAAAAGGTGAGCTTCTATAGAAGACCTATACTTCATTAAAGAGTTTTTCTTGTCATTTTGTTGATATGTTTCCTTACGCATTCTTTATTTTTATGAAGGACACAGTAATAAGTCTAAAAAATTATGTGTATATCGTGGAATATGAGAATTGTGTCTTTTAAGGAATTTGAGAAACAAATAGCTGATGGGAAACTGGAAGCGGCTCTTGCAGCGGCTGCTCAAGCACATGCAGCAGCAGCAGCAGCGGCTACGTCGAGTTCTGCTGCAGCGTCAACTAGTCAAGCACAAAACCTGAGCACTAAATCGCATCCGAATCCTCTGCAAGGAACTCCACAACGTAGCGGCACTAGCACACCGACAGTGCGTAAGACCGCAACGCCGGTACGGTTGAGCACACGTTTCTTTACTTCGTATCTGGAGTTTGTCACACCTTTCTCTGTGATTGTCTTGATTCAATCACTATGTTAAGGTAAAGGGCTTAACTATATCCCTATTGGTTTGCCATCTCAGCCGTAGATGTAATGAATATCTATGTCTCCAGTGCAGTATTTTTTATCCTTTGTGAATGGGTATTACCAGTTTATCGTTTCCGGAAATAGTTGATGAAAGATTCATCAGCGTTATTCACTGACAACAGGAAGAAGCGAAAAAAATGCGTGTAATTTAGATTCCTTCATCAATACTGAAACACTTGTGGGGGTGAAGGTGTAGTGTTTTAGGAGATTGCTCATATAGTAATAGCTCAACTGTTTCGTGACTCAACGTTTGCTTTCCTGGTTTAAGTTGCCTTACTTGTAGGTTCCGCCGGCGACAACGCCTTCGTTGCCGAAAATGGGCGCACCGTCATCATCCACATCCAGTACTCCTTCTTTGAAGAAATCCAGTAGTGCTATAGGACTGAACATGGTGAAAGTTCTGCGTTTTTCGTGTTTGATGATCGTATATATGATTTTGCTTTGTTCATCTATGTAAGGGAGAAACTCAAAGCAGTGATTTCCGTTAGTAGACCCCTTTCGTTAGTTAGTAAACCCCTTTCGACTACACTTTTATCAAGATATTAACGATCCAAGGCATTGGTTTAATACAGGATTTCAACTAAATGATCGAATGCGGTTAATAATTGACTAAGTCCTAGCTTCTCATTCAGCATGTTTAAGTGCTTTGTCATCAATAGATCGAATTTGGTGTAATGGTTAGTTTTATTTTTTCTTAGGCAGCGATGCAACAACAAATGGCCGCAATGCAACAGTTGGTTCGAGCAAATCCTATGATGGCAATGGCTGCGAGTCAAATGGCAGGAGCCGCTGCTGCGGGTAATCCTATGGCAAGCATGATGCAGCAGGTAGGAATAGTTCTATTGTCAATTTTCGACGTGTAATTGGCCATCTGTTAAGGAAGCATGATATTTTTGCGGAAACATTTTTCATTTAGATGTGGAATCCTATGATGTTGCAAGCAGCTGCAACACAAATGCGCTTACAACAACAGCAAGTACAGCAGCAGGTATTCCATATCCATGTGTTCTCTTTGCATATATTTCTAACGTTTTCCTCAAAGGGTTGCAAGTTGATGATCATATTTTGAGATGTTTGTGTGTTTATTATGTGGTTTTTCTTAAGGCTAATCAACCGAACATGGCAATGTCTATGCTCGCACAGGCTGTTCAACATGCTCAATCATCGGGATTAGCTGGTCAAAATAACACCGCCATTGCTCAACTTGGTATGCTTCCTGTTTTGGTGTTTTGTGCACATTATAATATCTGAAGCTTTTTCAGCTTTGATTTTTAAATTGTTCTTTTATTCAAATAGCTTTTTATTATGTTCGATTTTCTAAGTCCATTGTTTGTTTTTTGATTCGTATGGGAGAGTTTGTAAGGGTTATTATTTCGCGAAACATCACTGTTCTGCATCAGGTGTAGACAAAATCTACAATTTATCCCACCATGTGTTAGTTAGTTAGGACAATTTCTCAATTTATATTCAATGCCAAGTTTCTGGGCTATATGAAATTCCTATGTATGTGCTGTAGACTTTTACTGTTATTAGTCCACGATTATTTTTCGGTTATTCTTTGATGATATTCTGAAGTCTTGTGTGTTTTAGCTGCAGCAGCTGCCATTAATCCGGCGTTGATGAACAATCCTCAGTTGTTGCGTCAAATACAACAGATGCAAAGTCGTGGTCTGATAGAGTCGCTTAGAGGCAAGAAGTAGCACCTATTACTTCGAAGTTGGCACATGTGCCGACTTCACAGCCCCAGAGATTTTTGACCTCCTTCGTGATTTAAGGTGGACTTTACTGTTAGCACGAGAAACAAAGGATTTGTTTAATTGTTGACTATTGTTTGTTTTCTTTTTTGTTCCTACAGAAATATTGATGCCGATCGATATGTGCTTCTCATCAGTTACCTCTTATTCACACAATGTCTCTCCCATTCCGTCATTTTGCTGGCGTAGAGTTTGCTGCATATCTGGCTCGTATGATCGATGCTGTATTGAACATCACATGCAACACACTTGAATGAAACGTGTCCTTCTGTAGTTTTACTCATGGATATTAAGTTATTCTTGTTCCATACTATTGTTAGCGGGTTGTTATTACTGTGTTCTAAATACATTCATAGAACACCGTACTCTAGAGTGTGTTAAAGATTAGTAGAATTTTTGACACTCTCTGATTTCTTTGTGCTGGGTTGGAAATAGCGTAGAAGAAACCGGCAAAGCCTGAGGATTTGGTCTGATCCGGTTAATCCAAAATTACATGGCCGATGAACTCCACCGAACTGTTTCCACGTCCGCAAGCTTCATTGTCACCCCAGTGCTGCCTTGTCCTTCGTAGGGCTATTTCGAACGGACACCATCTATCGATTGATGTCCTATGTTAATTTAATCACAGTGTTCACTTGTTTTGTGTCAGTTTCCCGTGTCTAGAGCGATTTCATCCTTTCCTTCCGCCCTTCACACTCTTTCTTCTTTTAACTATCTCCTCGTCTCTCTCACACACATGGGTACCGACAGGATTGTGTACAGATCTACGGAAGTCAAAGTGTATATGATTATATGATGCAATATGTGTTTGCATTCTATGGCGTTGTTGTATCATCGCTGCCTTTTTCTTTCCTTCATTTCAAAAAACAACTTTAATCACCTCAGCGTCTGTGAGGGTAGTGATTACTGAGATCATGAGTATCGAATTTTCATGTAGGATTCTAGAAGATTGGTGCTTGTGGAGTGCTAACTATGTGCAAGATAAGAATCACAGTGTCTCGATAGGAGACCGTATGTATCGAAAATAAATATGGAAGCCGAATGAGGTCGTTGAGGTTGTTGTTTGCGAATATTTAATTGTTGTTATTTCAAGGTGGTCTACCAAAAGAAGAAGTCGTTTTGTATTCAATCTCATCGTTGGGTTTGGGATGTACACCTGTATAGTACGAGGCGTATATTCTTTCTCGATGATATTGTCAGGCATTATGCAGTTTCGATTTGCAGCGTTCTCGACAAATGACGTCATCGGTTCGAATTTTCTCGTATTCCAATTCGTTGTTAACTCATCTCTTCAGAATTATCACGTTTTCATCTGAGTCTTCATCATCGATAGTTCGATTTTCGTTAACTATTCGTTGTTCACATGCATGATGTGTATATTTTCGTTCACACGATATCCCCGAGTTTGTGATCTTTCGAATGTGAATGGTTGGATACGCGTTTACAGTCGTGTAGATTTAATACAGTGATTTTCGTAATGAATTGTTACTTCATATTCTGTTATGTTTACATTGCATCTTTTTGAGACACACTGAGTGGGTGGGTGGGAAAAGTATGAGCGAATGCGTAATTTCATTCAACTAACACTTATGGGCCATCAGGAGTGGATTTACATTCGTACGTGGGTCGGCGTAAGACCGGATGATAAGGTATCCACTCATATTTCCGGCTGTCGTTTAGTTTGCCTGTTATCTGTTTTTTTCATCGCACTTTTTGTAATCGATCGATGGCTTGCTGGACGCAGATCAATATTCTTCGATTTTCATTTGCTGCCCATTCTTTTTTTTTCATGGTAGGACGGTATGACGTGAAATGTCAAAATAATGCTGAGATGCGAGCAAGAGTCGGGACCTTAGATGGGCTTCGAACCCGCAATTTTCCTTCCCAAGGTTATGATGTGTTTAGGACATGAGCACCCCGTAAACATAGTCGGGGTTCGAAGCGCAACTGCGTTTCTGAGTTTTACTCACGTCTCAGCTTCGTTGTGGCATGTTTCTCAGATTACAGTGCTGACAGTCGGCGCTTAAAACTTATTCTCTATACTCAATAAGTTGTGAAAAGTAATGAGAAATCCCAGGATCGGCGTTAGTTAATAATTCACCGTTTTCTTGGTGAGCAAATGTGAAGCTGTTATGGCAGTATTTATTAATACACAGCAGCTGACATTTCGGCTGTTTCGCCTTCTTCAGTGCCTGGAAAGCCGAATTGACATACAATCTACTCAGCTAGAGGCTTTCGTAACCTCAGAAAATAGAACTTGGTGCGTACATTTCCATTTGCACAATAAGCAGCTTCTTTTAAACACTCACCGTTTCGTTGTTTGCAAGCCTTCCGGTTATTTAGTGGAGACAAGCCGCAGTGTCACATGGACGAGGAATGTACCCGATTTATTTGCTCACAAATAAGAGTTGGAAATCGAAATATGTCAAAAGTATGAGAGGATAGATACAACGTGCCAAACAATGCGTAGAAAACATAAATCACTGAAAGTATCGATAAAATACATAGGGAAACCGCAATACTTGACACTTAGCTCTTGAGCGGCCTGTCCTCACTGGTTGTGCAGGCCCCAGCAAAATAACCATTTTTCGGAGATTTGCTGGGTAAGCCATTGTGGTTCTCTGGAATCCCGAGGACAGCCTAGCCAAAGTCTGTTCCTGTATGATCCTGTAGGCTATGCGTGCTGTTCCTGATGTTTTTGATTGGAAGCGAAATTTGTAAATGTACGCGTTGTAGTTCTACTCGTCGTCTGTTTAATCAAAATCCTGTATTCCAGTAACTACTGGGTACGTATGAGTTGCCTTAGGGTCGTCATCAATACGTAACTTTCACGTTTTTGGTTTTGAAAAACTTTCTTGAAGAGGCTAGTAACCTACTACTCAGTAAACCCAGCTTCAACGTTAATGGCTGCAAATATATCTGTGAGCAATTCTCGCCAAAAAAGGCAAAAGATAAAAAAGGATAAAGCATTTGGCGTTGATCAACCTTTGACGGATGCTGTATATACTCGATTTTGTCAAGCATTGTGGAGATTATTGAATGCATATTTGCCCCGTAAAATGAATGACTTACAGTGGCTTAACGTCGAAACAACTAGTATTTTTATTATTCCAGATAAGCCTGGTACCAATTCATCAGCCTCAGTGAGCTAGAACGCTTGATGAGCCCTTGGCGTGGGATCTAAACAGCGATCTCTGCACTAGGTTTTGCAGACCATCTCCGATCTACAGCGTTGCGCGCGCCAAATAAAGGTAGTGAAAACAGAAGATGAATTTATCTCATTCTAGAAGATAAACGTGGTTGTTCATTTTATCCTTGATGTGAGCAGAACTCACTAAGAGAAACTTCGGCATGTCACAGGTTACTGTGTTGGCCTTGAGTCAGCCACGAGATGGTAGAGAAGTGAAGTAGATGATGATACAGTGATCACGATTACTAAAAAGTATGACAGGAACCCATCAAGATTAACACACCTCTGTTCTCATCAATATTACTTTCGTTTCCGATGAATTTTAAGATGGAGAATTCACTGAACCTTTTTGACACATTGATTTGTCAGATGGGAAACTAGTTCCTCTTCCGTGTCAACGCTTTAAGAGTTTTTATTCCTTGCCTCATTTTTGAATTTTCAGCAATTTTATGAAATAAATGGAATTGTGGGAACATAGTTTTGGGTAGAATTATACGTTATAGAATAAAGAAAGGACGTTTGCTCGGATTGAAGTTATTGCCCACTCATAGTGCATTCGTAGAATTATCAGACAAGTGTGGTGGAGGAATTGTTTCCTTTCGTTTCTTAAAGATGACTTTCATCACGACAATATTTTCCACGTGGATTCTCAACGTCACTGTGATTGCAAGAAAATCCAATATTGTCGAAATGTTCCTGACAATTAACGTTGTCAAAGGTGACATTAGGTGAATGAAACTCTTGGAATAAAAATGAAGGATAAAGCTCTCGGCGTTGATCAATCCCTGAGGGATGCGCCATGCATTCGACTTCATCAAGTATCGTTTGGAGGTGAATGAATGCATATCTGGCCTTTACAGTGACTAGCGGTCGCCTACTAACGTATCGAGTGCTATCCTCCCCGGCGGATGGAGGGCTTGGTGAGCTACGTGCGCTGGGATCGACCCCATGTGAGCATCGCAGAGCGCCTCCAACTACTGCGCCACGCGCATCCAAGGTTATGTTAGGTGAATAAAACTCCTGGAATATAATGAAATTTCTCAATAATGGAAATAAAAGAAGTTATTGATGGCATAGAGGAAATAGTTAGTTGTGAAGCGTAAGAATACAAGTGCGCCATCTCCTATTCATCCCTGAATGATCAGTATGAGACACGTGAATAAAATTTATTAATAATTTGTTATGAAGTCGATGCTCTTAAAGGACATTAATACAGGCTCGACAGCACGGAATTGTTGTTATGGTAGAAGTGCGGCATAACGGGAGCAAAAAAGTCAGTGATTTTCATCTTCATTTTCTTTCAATGTTTCTGCCTAAATGTAGATTATACATAATGATCGTCGCTGGAGCAGAAGAGCAATGGACCTCGAACGCATTGTTCTTAAAATTGCTAGTGGCACGAGGTGAGTCAGTCCACTGTCGAAAGTGGTCACTTTATTTAGGTATGAGAAGAACCTGCAGTTTGAGAACACAAAAGAAAGAGGACAGAAGATAGACAACATGAGCTATGTAATACAAGGGCGATATTACAGGGTCATCAGTACGAAGTCGACAGAAGGAAAATGTAGCAATATGAGGTCAATAGTTTAACTACTATAGTTCAGGATTAAGAGTACAAAGTCACCAACTCAATGGCGACAATGTTAGGCCGGTAGCAAAGGTTCGGTAGTAGGTGGTGCTACAAGCCGGTGCAACTTCGTTGATTAGGCAATGAGAGGAAGTCGTGTAGGACAACCAGTAATGCAACATTGATAGAGACAATATACAAATGTCAAATTTTTGGAAAGTAGCAGAACAGTGGCTGAGAGAAAGGCAATGCAAGGGCATCAACGGTGCATTCGGTGTCATGTGAATCTCCGGAAGGGTAATCGCAGGTTCGAATCTGGCTTGCGGTCCAAGTTTTCCTAATATCTAGCATCTCAGCCTCATTGTTGTTGTATTTCACACAATACCCCACGATGAAATAAATAATAGACAGGAAATGAAATGTTAAAGGTGAGCAACGTAGTTTATTTTCGATTAGTATATCTGCAAAATTAGGTGCAAGTCGATCTTCATATGCGATAAGAATCCCGTTAGTGAATATCCTGTTTTCCGTGTAAATCGATGACATAGTTAGCCGTATGTTGTTCATTGCCTCTTGTTTAACTATTTCCTCAAATTCCATTGGAACTTCGGACTCACGATTACCAAGATCTCTTTTCAGATCTGATTTTTGTTAATGAGATACTGGCTTGCTATTGTTGTTATATGACTTCGAAAAGTCTGTCTAAAAAAGCTAGCAATATGGTTGAACTACGGGAAAGAAAAGAAATAACCTAATAAATTATCTTAATAGTTAGGCGATTTGTCGCTAGTGGAATATTTTTCTTGACTATTTCATCATCCGAGTGTCATCCAAGTTGAGAAGGTGCTCGACGTCTCCATCTGAAAGTCCAACCAGCTGACCAGCTGAACCAATTTCATGATTTAGCTACAGTTCTGGAAGAAAGCATGTTGGAAGGTGACAATCCTCCCATAAATCCATTTAGCCTGAGCAACTGCGATTATGACAACAACAAGTGACCGTCCTCTCGATGTGGGATAAGCTGGATTCCATGGAGTAATCTGCACATACCAGTAATGTACCAAAAAAGCTCAAAATGTGCTACAATTATGTGGAGATATGATTTTTTGCGAATACGAACCGTTCGAATGTTTAAAAGGTAAACGGTAGAGCTCTCGGCTTTTTTCAATCCCTGAAGGATGAGCCATTCATTCGACTTCGTTAAGCACCCTTGAAGGTCGTTGGATGCATATCTGTCCTTTACAATGACTCACTGTAGCTTACTGATGTATTGAGCTAGTGCTGGTATCTTCCCAGATAAGTCCGCTATCAGTTTGCCGACCCGGGAAGGATGGAGGGTTTGATGTTCCTGGGCACGGGATCGATGCCATGTGCCAAGGCACCTCGTACCGCGGCGCTACCCGTGCCCTTTTCAAATGTTTAATCGAGCGAATTAAAGCGTTTTGATAAATATTACATTAAAGAGTATACAGTAAAATTTGACAAATATGTTGATCATATTTTTCATCACGAGTAAATTTTCTTTTGCTACACTAGACTCTGTGTTTTTTCGCTCAATTTGACTTTGTTCTTCCAAAACATTTTCCTGTTCTTCCAAAACACTTTCCTTTTTGTACTTTCCAGAAAAACTTCGAAGTACGGCTACAAATCCATCAATGACGGTTTTTTTGAAGTCTCTGCTTCACTCCGGACGCCTTTCAAATAAGAAACCGTGCCTATTGTTGACTGCGTTTTTATTGACGGTGGCGAAATCCTACTATGACGTAGGTTTCTTTCAAATATTCCTCCACTGAGGTGGTCAATCCCCACATGAAATACAGATATAACACTTTTTGTATTCGCTCCGTTGACTTGGAATTGTCATCCCCAAGGTGGTAGGGTGTGTCTGTGGGTTGGATTGCGTGCCGAGGACCTCAATGACTTGTCGAATGCCACTCGAACGTGATTCTCCCTGCGACCCCGAGATAGCGGTGCTAACGTGTTCCCAGATCTTCAACACAAGGCAATGTGTACTTGTTGGATGTCATTGTTCGTCCGTGCGTCTAATACTCCGTTCGATCAGCTGCTAGAAGGAATCGCTGCAGTCCTGAAAAAATTCCAGTCGCGAAATCAAATGACATAAGTATTGATGTCTACGGAGGGTTACAAAAAGGATGCCCGCCGTAAAGACCTTGGAACGCACTAGCCCAGCTCTTTTGGAATTTTAGGGAAAACTAGGCTGAAGTTTCCATACGATAAAGACAGTAATGGAAGGGGTGCCTGGGCTTCACGAAATGTGAAGGTGGTTATCTTAGGGTAATTGTTGGGTAACATTTTTTCAAAACTTTATTGTGTATGTATCATTACAGTGACCTTAACTTTAAATTTAAATAGCTTATCGCTTATCCGAAACGATCAGCATCTTCATGGAGAATGTTCAGGCCATTCCGTTGTTTCCTAGGTGGCAACGTATCGGTCGACTGATCGCAAACGTCGACCACTACGGAAAATTTGTGAGTGTAACACTTCTGTTTTTTAGAAAGCTTAAATTCACTGTGGCCTCAAAGTGGGCATGTTCGAACATAAGAAACTCAAAACAGTTTTGCCGTTTGGTTGATTTCTCAAGGTTTGTGTTCCATAGAAGTGTTGAAATGGTTCAAAGAATGGAAATGAATTTAGCACCACTTTTTCAGCACCAGTAAAGCGATTAATTAACTACTTTATGTAGGTGCTGCTAGCTGGTGATAGGACCCGATAAATTTAGTGTTTTTCGTTTTAGGTAGTTTTTTTGCCATAAAGATTTATGTGCTACATTTGTTTACAGTATGCTCTATAACCGAGGCGCGTGTTTAGTGCAGTTTAGGCATGCTCACTAGTTCGATTCCGTTCTCAGGGTCAACTAAAACTTCCATCTTTTGGGTGTCGGCGAATTAGTAGTAAACTTTTGCCGCAGGATAAAAATTCTGGCCTCATACACCAGTAGACACCTACAAGTCACTGTATAAATATGCACTCAGTAACCTTTACGAGTCCACTGATGGAATCTAATAAATGGCGGACCCTAAAGGATTGATCATTATCGTAAGCTTTCTCCTTTTGTCCGCATTTTCAACTGATGTTTCAGTTATCACGTGAAGTTATCGAGAACGACCATCGATTCAAGGAGTTTACCGACCTACTTGCGAAACGGAAAGAACCTCCGTATTTATTATACGTAAGGAAAATCGTAACTTGCTTTTGTATTTATTAGGGTGCACATTATTATTCATTTTATTCATTGCCACTATTATCAGGACTTATGTACTTTTATCAAAGATAAGAAACCCGTTTCAATTGGAACACTTAGATTCCACCAATTGTAGAGTTCTTTGTCTAAAAATAGACTGTAGCATTCTGAAATTTTCGAATGTAAAGCGAAAACTTCCGGATTTATCGCATCGCCGTGGTAGAATCTTCCTGATGATGGAACTGCAATATACTCCAGAGAAGGCTCGTTACCACAGTAACATCATGAACTTCAAAATGCAACTTCAATATTTCCTGGAAGTCCAACTTGGGATAGAGGGATATATAGGTTCACCGCGCTTTGGAAGTAATGGAGGTTGCGAAGGAGCAATCCTTGGTTTGATCCATAGTGGTTGGTGACGGTCCGGTTTGAGTATTCGCTAACGACTTCATATGGCTATGCATAGACATCGTAATGAAAATGCGGTGTCAACGGACGATTTAATGATGATAGTCTTGACCCAATAAGAAACTTTTCTCAGTGACTTTTCCAAATTACGACACTGGAATTTCCAACCAATTTCAAGCTTAAAAATCAAGAGCACGGAAATTTTTCATTTTTTATCTCGTGTGCATCGTAAAACTTGTTCGACTAAAGTTTGAATCGAACAACCGAGCTCTATTTATGGGTTTTCGTAGAATATGGTGGTTGACTAATTTGGGTACAATGGCATACAGCGGCTCTTCAAAGTCAATGGATTATTTAATGGTGTCGACCATTCTACAGGCATTGAACTGGTCAGAAAAGCTTTTTTAATGGGACGAGTAAGGATGTGCTGCATTTATCATCGGAAGTATTCTGAAGTGTTCAGCATTCAGCCAACTCTTCTACGCTGGATAAAGCCGAATACATGGCAAGAAGTTAGAGAAAATATCCGTAGGTGGTTCGTCAGGCTTCCCATGGACTGGAGCTACTAATAACTGTGTTTCCGGTTAGATGAAAATGCTGAACTCTTCCTCACTTCGAACGTCTGTGCTGGAGGAATGTTGTACTTTCGGTTTTATCTCATAGTTCAACAACAACATTGCCTGCTAGCTGCGATGAGGCATCGGCAAACCGTTTTGGAAACTAACAATAGTGTCGTTTTCTTGTTCAGCAATCGCAAGGTTTTTAAACAGCATACATTTACTTCCATAAAAACACAATACAATACAACGCTAGCTGACGTTTCGGAAGTATCGCCTTCTTCAGAGCCTGGAAGGGTATACTGATATACAAGAACGACACATTCATATTCCAATGTCGAGGTTAAGAGAAAGTCGATCCTGGGAACTAACAATAGTATTATTGTAATAGGCAAAAATAGTAATTGTAACAAAGTTTCTATTTCAGATCGACAAGAATTACTTCGATATCTCATTAAATCATATCTGCAATCTCGAATATATGAGCGGCTCCATACCGTAAGTTTAGTGATAATTAATAACGCTGTTGAGACTGATGGGTGACTGTTGATGGCATTGGTAGATAGGAAACTAGCTGAGAGGAAGACGAAGCGAAGGATCCGCATGGTGTGGTGGTGAACGCGTTAGCCCCTAGAAAGGGTAATAGCGCGTTCGTTACCTACCGCTGACACCTGCGGTCCGGGGTTTTGCAAATATCTCAGCATTACTGTGGTTGTGTCAATGCTGAGACTTTTCAGTTATCTAAGTCTTTTGAAATAAGGAAACACAGTAAGAGGTCCATTCGGGTGGAATACTTTATGAAATGTATTGCGTTATTGATGAGTTTAGTCAAATGGTTATTTTATCAAAGAAAACTCAAACAGCATTGAGTTTTTCGTTGACAATTAAGCAACGGCATGCATTGATTCAAATGCACTTTGCGCACAGGAAGAAGTTAGGCGTAACCACTTGTGTGTATTAACAATGGTCTTACTGCATTTTCACTTTACCCTATTTCTTCAGAAGATATCATTTCATTTGAATACAGGAGATTGGCAGTGGTATCGTTTGATCGAGAAGTGGAAAAAGAATTCAATAGATTTCATCCATACATTCCGACTGTCACGTTAGATTTCTCCCTGATTAAGGTATCCATCATTCGGATTTCTCTGCTCTTTAATCAACTATTCCGTTCACATTTTGCGTTTTTATGTATTTCCTACCGACTTGTTTACTTATTTTTTCTATCTAAGTGGTTTTTTTGTCTTCTTTATGAACTCTGCAATGACCAACTATGAGAAACAGAAATGTGAAGAATAGAATGTGATGAGACTAGAACGTAACAAGAATAAGAGAAGAGTATAATATGAGGTAAGAAGAAAATGTAAGAAATAAGAATAGAAATCAGAGTAGTACAGTTCTCTCCCGAAGTTTTTCCTAGTCAGACAAATTCGGTTTCATTAATGCTTGAAAGATATGGAATGGTCGCCACTTGGTCTAACAACGTAATCGATTTTTTTGAATCAATAATCTAGAGTTTTTCTTTCTGTAGAAAACTAGATTGTGGACATTTTATAGTCTTCATCCAGAAATCGATTCCTAACGATCTGGAAAATCGTCGTTACGTCGTTTATCAGTTGGTACACATGTTACGATCTCACATTGCTGCCGTGTTATCCAGTCGAGGCATTAGCTTCTGGTCAATGCAACAGGTATACGGTGGTCGATAATAAAGGTGTACGGTAGCAGTTGATGGTAGTTCAAGTAAAACTAACTACATTCTTATGTTCAGTAGCAAACTAAAGATGAGTAGAGATGCAGTTCGGCACGATTACTCACTGAAAAAGAGATACGAAACCATGTGAATTAGATTGGTTTTTTGGAATTAGTTATGGTGGAGCGAAAAAAATAGGTAGTAGTAGTAGAAATGGGCATGGTAGTCAAAAAACTAACCATGAAATAAGTAGAATACTTAATATTTTCCCTTCCACATAGTGCTCTTAAACTTTACTTGATACTTGAATGGTCGTCCTCACTGATTGTGGGCCCCAGCATAATCTCCATTTTTCGGAGGTTTGTTGCTTAGGCCATTGTGGTTCCCTGGAGTCCCGAGGTCATCCTGGCCAAAGTCTGCCCTAGGTCTTCACCACCACGGGTAGTCGCAGCCCTTGCGGATCAAAGGGAGATTTACCACCATGGGACTTTGATACCAGAACGGTGGTGGGTCCTGGTATTGGTTTACTCTTACCTTGGGTTCCTGATGGAAACGCCGGACTCCTCAGCTTGAGGAACCCTGCGGGCGGATGAATCCCCTGCTGTACATCGCAGTCCGACACACAGGAACACTCCCCAGCCACGATGAGGCAGTGAACCGTTGGGAGGTCTTAAACTTGATAGTGGCAAGAAATCCGCAGTTACGCAACCGAGTATTGATTACTTTGTTGAGCTATGAAGTAGCGGTAGGAGAGATGTAGTTTATACATGAAAAAAGGAGACAGATATAAAAACCAGCGGCAGGAATTTGGAGTCGTTCTGATTCAGGATTCGGTATGGACGGAGAATTTTGTGTCCATGGAAGTTGAAAAACACTATCCGAATGCGTTGCTGATATTTGACACTGTTGGTAATGATCAGGTGAGAATATAAGACACTCCATTACTACTGGGTATAGATCGGTCATCGATGAGATCAAGTTGAATGGACGGTTTTCAGAAGTTTGTGTTTGTATGTTACTTGAATATATTTTCCAGAACCTTATGTTTGGCGAATGTTTTAGAAATTAATCAGTACGCGAACTAATTAGTAGCAGCATTGTGGTTAGGTCATGCCTTCGATTCATTTCGTGTCAAGGTGGCACGTTCCAATGCATTGTGGAGCAAAACCGAGTGTGTGCTCGGTTTCGAGACGTAGATGGATTCAGTGGATCAGTACCTTTTGAGCAATATGTAGCCACATTCATTCATGAATCATGTGTGACACAATGGGTGAAGATGTTGTGCAATGCGTAAAGGGCCATTAGTTTAATCCAACGCCATAGGCTAATCTAGCCATCCACAGCTTGTCGGATTCTTTGGCATTTAGCTTGCTTCATAATTTTTCATTGTGCGTAATATTTCGCCATCAAAGCCATCCACCTTCCCTCAGAGTTACTTCACGTATTTGTTCTCTTATGCAATTAAAATATCTTTTCTCCATTTGTAGATCATTCCCTTTGACACGTTATTGTTGATAGCACCGATAAGGTAAACAACTGGCCAAGTGAAAAGCAAAGTAAGGGCCTTGGTGGTGCAGTGGGTGACACGTGAACCCTCGGAAAGGGTAATCGCGAGTTGCAATCTGGACTAATCTGGGTTTTGTAAATATCTCAGCGTCATTATGGCTCACACAATATACTTCGTGGAAAAAGAATAGGCTGTGAATAAGATTTAAGATAACTCAGAAAGTTAAAGTATCTAGTTAAAAGTTGAAATACTTTTTTTTGTTACTAGATGACGAGTAAGAATAAAAGGAGAATCGTTTAACGTTGATCAATATCTTGGTGTTACGATATGAAAATTTCTGTTTGGCCTAGACGGTGACTCTCGGTGGCCAAGCAGTGTACAAAACCAGTGCTACTATCTTCTGGTAAGTGTGGTACCAATTTACCGCCTCTGGAGAAGTGAAAGTTGGGTTGGCTGAGAGTAGCGGGTCGATCCAATGACTATGTTTGTATTTCAGGGCATCCTAACCATTGCGCTACACTTATCGTATTTCGTTTAAGACCTAGGGATCGGCGGGATCGGCATGAGTTGATTCCAATCGTACGGTGCGAAAAGAAGAACCGCTTACAATTTAAGGCCAACATATCTCAGCTCAAAGTGGATCCTTTTTATTATTATTACATAGTGCAACACTACATGAAGCACACCCCAACACTTCTTCCAATCTATTCGTTTCTCCGTGTCTACCATCCACAAAGATATTCGAATTTTTTGCGTGAGGATTTGGTAGCTCATTGAGGGTTTTCGTTTTTGTTAAAAATTTCATTGAATGCTGGCCAAGTCGATTCTCCTTGGACTCCTGAGATAGCAGTTCTAGCGTGTTTCCACGTGGATTACAAGGAATAAGCTTGTCACAGACAATCCTGGTAGCGAATTCTCGTCCCTAGAAGAACAAAAAGCTTGGTGGGCCAGGGGGGTGGAGCAGTACCAGCGCCTAGGAAGATTGGATCGTCTGTGTAGTGAACTGAATCTATTATTACAGTTGCAGAACAATAATTTCCAAACTGGCCGTCGTTGAATCTCGGCAGTAATATGCAACATCTTCTCGGATTGTTAAGCTAACACAATATTGGTAAATAGACCTATTCGGCTAACGTTTCGACGTCTTCGTCTTCATCCAAGCAGGTGATCTGAGTCGATGGTCCACGGTCATTCGTCCTCTCGATCGAATCTACAACTCTTTGCCTGCAGAAAACCCCTTTTGCTCTACGAGCATGAATTTATGACTTTCTAGAGCCCACTTAACTTATTTTCTATGGTTTTTCATCAATGCTCGTTTTCCGATAGTTAAAACTATACGGCAGGCGGTATTTGGCCCATTAGAACACGATGATCGCTCAAATGCGTCATTCAATTTAATAGCCACCCAGATTTCGTTTGTAATTCTAAAAGTGAAAATTCGTCCTCATTACTTCCGGATATTTTTATTCTAAACAGCCGTCAAAGTCAAACATCAGTTTCGAAGGACAATGCATGCTTTTAAATTGATAGGGCAAAGTCTCCCATAAACGGAATACGTTTCGAACTCCTGAACATTTTATGAACGAATGAACTATTCTAGTTATTCAATAACATCCAGCAATTTGCGAAAAACTAGCTTCGGACCCTAAGGGTTTGCAAGCTCTTGAAAACATTAGGTCCTCTATGAGCTTCTGATAACACTAGTTGCTAAAATAATTTGGCAACTGTTTCAACAATTTAATTACTAAATAGTTAATGAAGATAAAGTAAGCTGGGGCAGCAATGAGCTTCTTCGTTGAATACCGTCGTTGGTATCGTCTGTTTCTTGATAGTGGAGACTTATAGTCGATCTGTCTAATGGAAAAGATTCGATTTTCAAAAGCAAAATTGGATACGGATATATTTTATTGCACTGATAAGCCAATATGAGGTTGTTACCGAACATTTATTCTGCTGATGTTTCGATGTCTCCGTCTTCTTCAGAGCCAATAATGGGAGTCGATGGTCCACAGTTGTTCGTACTCTCGATATGGTGTCTTCGTCGTCGTACCGAATCGGATCTTCTTTTGTGGAGAACTGCTCGAATGAGGCAATTGTTAAAAAGGAAATTGTTATGAACAGACAGTAATTATCAATAACAGCGGTAAACAAAGGACGCTGCCGGGTAAGGTTGCCTCATTCAAGCGGTTCATACCGAGGTTAAACGAAAGTCGGCTTGTAAGAAAGATAACAGTTAGAAAAATGTCTTGAATACGACAAGAAGGAAACCCAAGAAAAGCCATAAGTTTTATTCTAACGGAAATCAATAAAGTTTTCATGAATTTACGAAGTGCTTCTTCATTTCCCATGGTTTTCTGTCAGTTACGCAAGCACACTTTTATTTCTACAAACTGTTCTACATAGATGTTTATCTATGAACTGACTAATTTTCCATCAACTTCACTGTACAACAGTAAAAACAGCTGTAGAGAAAAAGGAAGATTTGTCCAATAGTGAGTTATCGTCATGAAGACGTTGTTGGTGACGACTTTCAGTTCGCTGTCTATAAGAGATCGATTCCGGGTTGGATTTGTGGTGCGACGTTTTTCGTCAGAGCCAGTCCAGTGACAGTGGAATTCTTCAAGAAGGTGTGTCAAGATTATTTTATTTCAGAAATTTTTAACTTATTCATTTGTTCTACTAATTACTAACAAGGAAAGTGAGCAAAAAAATTCCGAAAAATGTGATAGAAGTAAGCCGAAAACGCCTACACAGGGCTACGTAGGCACTCCATGCAGAACACCATCTAATTAGAGCATGCGGATGAGCCAACGTCACGAGAATCGTTAGTAGGGTTTATCCTATAAGTATGATGGTGGTTGAAGTGTTTTTTCCCTGGTTCAATGTCATTTGGAAATTCGTTCTAGTGAATACAAGTCCTAAACTGAATTTTCATTATGTTTAACGTTTTTGTTTTCTGCCTTCTATAATTTTCATGGCAGGTTACTAAGCGAAATACAACCACAACGTTGCTGAGATATTTGCAAAACTCTGGACCGCAGGTGTCT